GCGCCGCATGGTTGCTACCGCCGTCTGTCTATATGCCTATGTGAGTGTGTGCGTGTGTGTTAAATAAAACGTGTGGCCAAAAGGCTAAGAGACAGACAGGAAGTGCGACAGATACACAAATGCCAAACGAACGCTTTTGGCCAAGAGCGCGGCAAGAGGCAGCAAAAAACTCAAGCAAACCAAACCAACCAACCAAGCAGTCAGACCTCGTCCATCTGTCCCTCAAGCTTACGTGTGTGTGCTTTTGCATGCGAGTGTGTTGAGTTCGCGATTCTGCTGCCGCATTTTCTTTTGTCGATTGTACAGCCACGGCGACGTTGAACACTCTTGAAGCAAAAGCCCGCAAAAGGATTCATCAGAATGTTCACTAGTTGCAGTGTAAGGTGCCATAAATAAATGTGTATATACATATGAACATACCCCTTTCCTCTCCTACTACCGCCTCTCCTACACAGTTTTCGTGCAGTGAATTGTCAAATTAATAAATATAAGAACAAAGCGTTTCCGAAGCCACAGCCTGTAACTAGAAGCGCCGACCCTTCGCCTTCTCTCCGTTCTTTCTATACACTTATGTATGTGTAGAAATGTACAATTCAGGAATTTTAGCATAGCGGCCAGTAGATCTTGGTCTCAAATTCAAACATTCCAATTTAAATTTTCATAAATATGCGTAAACACGCATTCGGCCAAACTGAACTAAAACAATATAAAAAGAAAGCCGCTAAAAACACAACAAATAAGAAAGATAAACCGTTTTAAATGGAAAGCCGAATTCAGTGTGGGTGTGTGTGGGTGTGCGATTAGCCGAGTGAGAGAGAGAGTACAGCGAAGGCGCTTGTAGCGAGAGAGTGAGTGTTTGTTGTGTAAGTTGAGTTAAATTGAGTTTAGCAGTCTACCGTGTACCTCACGCATTGTTTTGTAGACGCATTTTAAAGTTTCGCTAAAATATTAGCGAGTGTTTGTTGTGCCTGTGCTCGCAACTACAGTGCATAAACTAGTTACTGACCATAGCAATAATAAGATTGCTTGAATTTTAACTCCAGTAAGATTTATTGCGTCAGCACTGCACTTCCCTGCGTCTTCGGTTGTGTACATTTTATGCAGCGACAGCGTCGCGTACCTATGTGTGTAATTTTCTGTATCAATAATTACGATGCCGGCGCTGCTCTGCTGCGCTCTTGTTTCACATGTACATATGTATGTATGTATGTTTGCACGTTCATACACACATATGTACACGTATATGCTCATGAATGTTTATACAGTTAGTCAAAAAGTTTGTTGATATGGATTAAAAATACATAGCTCTGTAAACGAATAATATTTAACGCATCATACATTAATATTTACTCGTAATGTACTTAAGCTGCATATAAATTTTAAAAAATGTAATTGCATTACTTCAATGGAATATAAATAAAAAATATGAACAACCAAATTGCAATTTGGGCAGAATTGGACATTATAATTTATTATGTTTATGGATTATCAGGAAATGTCACTTTCCCATTTATCCCAAAACCCTATTCTTACTATTACTCTTACACCCTTTGCTAAGTATTACAATCAGAATTAAAGGAAAATTGTCGTAAATTTAGCATGATAACAATAACAGATATAAGTACGAAAATAAATTTGTACAAACATTTTTTTGACAAACTGTACGTCGTAGTTGGAAATCGAAATTGAAGCAACCAGCAAAAGCATTCGTTGAAACGACCGACCAGCCAACAACAACAGCAACATTGGAGACATGTTTGCGCCATGGCGGTGGCTGTCGGCAGCGCTCATTTATTTTATGTCTCGCTGTCGTTCTTATTGTTGCTGCGGCTGCTCTTGTTGTTGTTGCCTTGCCGTTCGTTTGCTTGGCTTATGGGAAGCTTCGGGCCCGCTTACGCTGCCCTGCCACCTACCTCTTAATGTTCTTTGTATGTATACATATAAGTTGTAAATGTGTGTGTAAGTTCGACATGATTGTCTTCTGGGAAGTTTGCACTTTAGATTTATTTGTTATTATTAATTTTTTTGAATTGTTATTATTTTTGGAAGCGTTTTTTTTTTTTTTTTGTAACTTATCCAATTGATGTTCTTACCAATCAAGCTAGGCAGAATTATTATTTTTAAACTAAACTTTATTGTCCTTAACTCTTCAACATTTAACAGCTAGTTTCTCCTTCCTGTTCTTATTTGTACATACATATGTACATATGTACAATATGTATGTTTTTATGTACGTTTGTACTTAAACAGGTCCTCAGTTGTAGGGAACCAATCAATTAATTGTTTCAGCAAAAGATTTTACTAACTAGACCTCTCGATTTCGTAGATAAAAGTGAGCGCACGATTAGCTGTGGGTTAAAACGTGGAGTTTGCCGAGTTGTTTGGCTATTGTATGACTAACTGGGCTGGTTGACTAGCTGATTGTCGACTGTAGTTGTTGTTGGTAATACTCTCGGGCCATTCACTCATTCGTTTCTAAAATACAATTTTTTGCTGTTCGTTTTTGCTTTTATTATATAGCGCGGCTCAGTTGTGGATTTGTTGTTGTTATTGCTGCTGCTTTTGTTGTATGATTTCGATGTGTACATATGTATGTATGTATTTAGTTTGTGTGAATGTACGTACATATACATGTGTACAAATATACACACATACAAACATACATATGTATGTATGTATGTATGGATACAGCTAAGTTTCGGCCTGTGAGTACGTCCGTCTGTTTGTCTGGCAGTTAGTCGTTCAAGTTTTGCGTTTTTCGTTCGCTGTCGGGTGCGCTGTTTTTATTTTTCTTGTTGTTGTTGCTGCTGGTGGCGGTTTTGGCTTGCCGGCCATGCTGCTCCAATGTCCGTCTGCTCCTCGCTGATTGCTTTGGCTTGTTTTGCTTACCCCAACACAGCTCTTTTGCTGTGACGTTAACGTCGACGGTGACGCCGACAACGACGACGACGCCGACGTGTACGTTGCTGCAGCAGTGTGTCTTTTTCATATTATTTAATTTATTTCGTTGGTTTTTATTGTTGCCGTCTGACGTCCACCCTACCGACACGTCTTTGTTGTTGTTGCTTTTGTTGTTATGTTTTCTGTGTGTATGTATACTATACACACAATTCGTCATGTCGTACCATTTATTTGTTGTTGTTATTGTTGTCGCTGCTGCTGCAGTAGGACGTCAACATCGGCATCGGCAATGGGACTAGTTTCTCATCATTGCCTTTTGCCCTCACCTTCTCGCCACCTCTCTCTCTCTCTCTTACTCAATCACTCAGTGTTCTGCTCCCGTCCCTCTCACTCAGTCAGCACTGACAACCGGCACAGGCCACAGATTCATCCCTTCAAATAATTTTTGAGGCATTCATGATGAATTTGTTTTCTTGTTTAATTTTAGTCATTCGGGTTTGCGTTCTTGTTTCACGCCAAGCTGCGTGTCCTCTGCCACCGTCTCGGCACCCTCACAATTTCACAGAAGCAACTACGCACACACACACACTCATATTCCTACATGCATATGTGTGTATATGTGTATGTACATGCATATGTGTGTACCTGCATACGCTCAGATGCATCTGCTGCCGTTTTAAATCAAATTCGTTCGAAAGACCTTGTCCAGCTGTAAATACATAAACACATACATTGATGCATAAGCTCATTACTATCTGATTTACAGTAACTGAACAATTAAAACCTTTTGTAAAACAATAATGTTTTTTTGGTGGTTAATAGAAGGCATGTTTTGAACGGTGTTTTTTTGAAATTCGGTATGCAAATGGGGGTATCATTTGTAGAAAGATCTTTTAATATGGGATGACTTCTACACGAATCCATACATTAATTAGCTGCCGGCGAGCAAGCATAGTCTTAAATAGATTCGATTCCGTCACCCTAGTTGACTTTTTATTTAAATTTACTGCTAGCGAGCTTACGTTTATTTATCACTGAGTTCTGTACAAGGGTTTGCATACATACTTGATCATGGATGTATATTTGTGGTCGATAACTTTTACTGGAATGCTACCATATTATTATAATAATTACTTTAGTTTTGGTTAGGTTCGTTCGAGCGCTCTAAGATCCTTTGTATTTATAAAACGATCCCATAGACAGAATGTCTGTTTGTTCGTCCATACGAACGCAGAGATCTTTCGAACCGTAATTGGGAGGGACACCGAGCTTGGCATGTAGACTTGGTCAGAAAGATCTTCATTTGTTGATATAGCAGCCATAGGAGCGATTTTCAGTTTTTCATGTGAGCTTTGATTTATAAATAAATATGTATACTGAGATGAAATCGTATGTGCCACCGCCCATGAATTGATTAACTTACGTTGAGCGATAATTGTTTTCTTGGCCTCTTTATCCGTTCTGCCCCCTCCATCATCTCTCGTTATCTTTACATTATAAAGGCGAATAAAAGATCACACAGCTGCAAACGTTTTCAACTGATTCAATTGAAAAATTTATTTCAATATTGCCGGTCCCGTTCCCTCTCTTGTCAATTCTTTAGATGGGCACTCGGACAGCGCCGATGCCGTCGTTGTGTGACTGTCCGGCTGTGCTGTTTATTAGGTTTCTTACTTAAAACTTGTGCCACTTCCCCACGCCCCCCACCTGCCGCGATTTTCTAATCGAAATGTGTTAAATGGCCGACGGCTCGCTCATAAGTTGACCAAAATGCGCCATTGTTTGTGTAAATGACTCACATGCGTATGTAGTATAGTACATATGTACTCGTACAAACATACATACATACCTGTATAGAACGTGTAGGTATGTACATACATATGTACATACATGTGTATATGTGTGCTTGTGTGTGCTGACAAAGCTTTTTATATAATTACCCATTTGCTGCTATTGTTGCTGGTCTGGTGCTCTTGCTGCTCATCTAATCTGTTTAATTTCAACAACCCCATCGCATTGAAAATCTATGAGCAGAAAATCAACGAAATCTCGAAATGAAATTTGAATTCTAATTCGTGTCCTCTCATTCTATTTTCTAGTTTCAAAAACTATTCTGCAGACATCTCAGCTCTAGATTTGATGTCTAGAATCACAAAATAAGAAAAGCTCAAACATGGAATAATAAAGCCATTTATACATCACTGAAGTTCAAACGAATTCCAAAAAGTGTGTGAAAAATATATATTGATATTATTTATAAACGATAAAAATCAAGCAATAACATGGCATCGGAGTCCTCGGATTGACCAAAGTTGTTGTCTAATTATGGAGAAAGACAAACAAATACCAGCAAACCAACGACAACAAATAGCATAGCCAACACACTATAAATAAAGGCTATGGAAAAAGTTAACTAGCGGCTCTTGAGAAAGGTCGTTTGGGTAAGTAGAAGTTATATTTTTTTTATATGCTAAACATTTGTACACTTATTATACCTATACCTATTAATGTAGGTATGTTCTTAGTATAAGCCGGTCGATTCGAGTACCGATTTTTTTTGCTTATGTACGTATAATTCACTGGTATGTATGTATATTCCTCCACAATTCGCTTGTGATTTGATTTGCTTTGCATGTGGGGTTTTTATATGTATGTATATTCTTGCATTAATGTGTGCACATGTACCTTTTCATTTGTGTACACATGCACTATATATGTACATAGATATATTAAAATACCACGAGCTAAAAATGTATCTTCGATGCGCCGAAGCTCTTCACATTATTCCACCACAATCTATGTACCCGACTGTGTCCGTAAAATCCAACTCTTACAAAGTTTGTTTACCCGTTTTGCAATCACGGCCCATTAATGATAAAATGATTCTAATATAAATGTTGGTTGCAATCAAACACCCATCTTAAATCATATCAAAGTTTTAACGTTACAAATCTTAATCTGTGGGAGGAGTACTGTTTATTTTGGATTCGACCTGTCATGCTTACAAACCTAAAACAACATCCACTTACAGTTTTCAGTGAGGGGTATATTGAATGAATATTTATTTATATAAAAATCGCCCATATTTTAAGATAAGGTGTGATCTGTAAAAATGTTGGTCCCACGATCGCTTTATACCCATTATGAGTAATAGTGATAGATAAAAGCAGTGTGCTCTAAAGCTTAGCTTCTCTTTGTCTCTCTCTCTAAAGATTTCATTTCAAAATATTCGCGAAATAACAATTTTATCTTTTTATAGAAAAGTAGGTATAAAACTAGGCATCATGTATCAAAGTGCTCATAGACTGTTACTTTAATAACCTCGAACCACCTTTGTCAACCCCTTTTGCTTAAACTAATATTTGATGTTATTTAATATTGAAATTAGATTATATTTTTTTCTTTAAAAAAATTATATAATTTTAATTAATGTTTAATTAATCTCCGACTGGTGTCCGAATTATTAAAACTAAAATGTACACATTTATGGTTTTTATAGCCTGTACCCAAGGGTTGAAAGGGCTTACCAAACTATGGTACGAATGTACGAAGGAGGCGTGTCAGACCCCAAGTCAATATAGTCATGTCCGTCTGTCTGTATGAACGCAAAGATCTCGGAAATTAAAGGAGTAAGATTAGCTAAACTTGGTATCCAGATTCTCTGAGAAAGGATAAGTTTGTGTTTTTAATTCAGTAGTACACACATACACACCCACGCATTGTAATTTATTTATTTTTATATATTTACAAAATTAAATTCTAAGCAAGAAAGAACGCTAAAGTCGAGCAAGCCAGACAGTGAAATACCCTGTACCCAGGCAAAATTCCCTCACTTAGTTATAGCGCCCCTAGTAGAAGCAAAAGGAAGATTAAGAGCGAAAATAAAAAACAAGAAAGGAATGCTAAAGTCGAGCAGGCTCAACTCTTAAACTCTGTACCACCCCACAAAAAAGTAATTAAATTAATTAATTAATTTAATTAAATTAATTAACTAAATTAATTTAATTAATTAACTAAATATTAACTAATGCATACATACTTTTACAATTACATCAGAATCGTGTATATGCGTGTTTGTGTACTTGTACATATGTATGTATGTGTGCATTAAGCCTGGTTATATGGCTATAACTTTCTTTCCGATCATTCTATCATAATGAGACTTGGTATACGGTTATATAATTACTAACCTAATGTGACTACTAAATTTTAGTTCAAAATTCCAAGAATTACGGGAGTTATAGAAAATCGTTAATAGGGGGGGAGTGGGGGGGTGGATCAGAAAAAATGAACAAACTCGTCCTTTCTCGGTCTCAGGAGAATCTGTATACCAAGTTTGGTTATTCTAGCTCTTATACTTTCGGAGATCCTTGCGTTCATACAGACAGACAGACGGACAGACAGACGGACAGACGGACAGACGGACATGGCTATATCGACTCGGCTTGTCATGCTGATCAAGAATATATATACTTTGTGGGGTCTACCAAGCCTCCTTCTGTGTGTTCCATGTGCACTCGCACTAAACTAATATACCCTTGTACCCTTTGGGTACAGGGTATAATAAAATAAAACTTTGGATACTAACTTTGGTTATTCCAGCTTTTATAGTATTTGCGTTCATCCAGACGGACGGACAGACACGTTTACATCGTTTTCTCTCGTCATTCTTAGGAATATATATACTTTATCGGGTCGAAGATGCTTCCTGCTGCATGTACTTTGCATCAACCTAATATACCTGCTTTACCCTACGGGTTCAGGGTATGAGAGTGTGGGTACAGGGTATTCAAGAGTTGGGCCCCCATTATTGTTCAAAGGTCCATTTGGTAAACGGGTCGTGCCGGGCGGAAAAAAGCCGGCCCATGCCTAACTCTAGCGTAAAGTTTTCTTGCTTTTAAGGTGAATTTATTTCATTTGAAAGCCAGTCCATCAGGTGAGAAAGTTTTACTTGAATCTCCTTGCACTATTTCCGTTAACCTGAGCACACAATTTCAATTATTTATGGCAATATCTTACATTTCACACGCCTCCCTCCTCACATGACAAATTTATTGCAACAAATGTGCATAGAAATGTGTAAATTCCAACACTGTTGCAGATGTTGGCAACTTAGAAATTTAGCTGATCCAAAAGGTGGGCTCCATTTCGCACAGAAGTGCAACCACTTAATTAACCGCTTCAGCAGTGGGCAGTGGCAGGGGCAGAAACAACAACAATGCCAACAATAACAATATTTAGAGCTGTCCAGGCTATAGTATGATTTATGCATACTCGTCGTATGTTCATGTGAAATAACCAAGAGGCGAAATTAAATTCCCCAGCAGTTGGGAGCGAGTTTGCTCAACTAATATGAAAATAGATGCAACACAATGAAGAGGCAGGAGCAAGTGTAGAAGCAACAGCAAAAGCTGAATCTAAAGCTAAAACCGAATTGGAATAAAATGAAAATGATTTCAGTGCAGGAGGTGATGGCGTTGCCGAGCAACGCACGTGAGGGACGAGAAGAGTTTGGTGAGATGGTTTGGTTGAGGGAGCATCGAGGTGTTTGCTTGTTTGTTGGCATTGTGCACATTATTATCAAGGATATTGGGGCGGTAGGAGTGGTGCTGTGAGGGTGAGGGTGAGTATGTGTGTGTCTGTGTGTGGGTGGGTGCGTGTCTGTCAGTTGCCGCAGCTGGGGTTGGGGTTGGTGTAGCTTGTTGGTCGGTCGGTTGTTCGCTACTCATTCGGCTGTTGTGCGCGCGCTCAAGGAAATTGTGTAAAAAAGGACACACATAAAATGTAAACTCTGAACCAAAAAGAAGGGCGTGGGATGGCGAAAGGGGGGTGGGAGTGGACCGACTTGACTGCAAATGGATCCCAGTCCTACTCACTCAGCGCCAGTTGGATGGATGGGTGGTGGGTTGGTGTTGGTGTTGGGCCTGGGACGTGTTGCAAAAACGAATGGAAAACGGCGCAGAGCGCGCAAGGATGACATTGTGCGTGGGCCGATGCTGAGGATGGGATGTAACAACGAGAATGAAGGGAGCAACACAACTAAAATTGTAAACGTCGGCGACGATGCCAAAGAAGTGGTGGGGTTGAGGGGAAGGCTTGCTGAGGTGAAATGGTGGGAAGCGGAATGATGGGAGGGAACGCAGTGACAGTGACAGCAATGACAACAACAACAGCAGCTGTGTCGGCAGTTCACTAGCAATAACAACAACAAACAAATGAATTTATGCAGCCATAGCAGCAGCTTCGGCACTACTAGTTGTTGTTTTTGCGTTTTGTATTTATGTATGTAGCCGTGCTCATTGGTGTTGTTGCTGTTGGTGTTGGTGCAGTAATTCATGGGAAAAGGCTCAAAGTAGAACGAGAGCGCGCCCAATGGCTCCATAAATTAGAGCGAGAGCAAGAGAGCGCGCGCCCGGCTATAGTTGTTGGTTTTTCTGCTGCTGCTGCCGGTGCCGGTGCACATGCAATACAGGACGTCAGACGGGGGCACCAGGAGTGCAGCATTGACGTATTTGCCATTTGCAACAGAATGCGCCCTTTCCTTCTCCCTCCCACGTAAGCTCACTCAAAACGACGCCTCTGCCTTCGGGTAATAACAACAACAAAACAACCAACGACAACAAAAGCAACAGCAACAAGCACGAGTTGTAGACGCAAGTAGCACAACAACGGCAGCATCTGGCCCAGGCCTCTGATGTGCCTGATTGTGGTGTGGTTGGGAATCGGTTGGGGATCGGTCGGGGCTCGGTCTAGGGCCCGATGTCTGCCCATGCCTGGGCTGCTGATGCTGCTGCAGTTGGAGCAAGTCGACAAATGCAGGGTACACTTGACTAGGACAAACCATGAAGTTCAGTTCTGCCAGGAGCTGTGTGGCAGTGTTTATATGTGTGTATGTATGTTTGGTATGTATGTGTGCGAGAGTGAGTGAGAGTAGGGGGTTGGGTGATGGCTGCTTTTTGTGGCTGCAAAAAGTGCACCCAAAATATACTTAGTCGACATCGTTGTGCGTTGGTTGTTGTTGTTGGCAGTTAGTTGGCTTAAACTGGGAATGTGTGTGTATGTGTGTAAAGCCAACGTTCATAATGTCATGTATGAACACACTACACACTCTTCTGAAAATGGTAGCTACCACCTTGTAGGACCGGGCATTAGTCCCTCTTCCGCGTGTTGATACCAAAGGGCCTTTTCGTTTATTATTTTATTATTTCCCCCGCAATGAGCTTTTGGTTAAAAGTGTACTTTTTCCTATATGTACATAAATTTTATATGTATATACTTATATTGAAAAAAATGAAAGCTTTAATAATTCATAACTTGTCACAATTTCTTTTATTTATTGCCAATAAGACCCATTTTGATATTCTTATCAAATATGTAGCTCCCATGTGTTTTTAAAGGTTCGAAGTTCGATTTAAGTTAGTGATTTCATTTAGCAAATTTCGTTTAATTAAACATACCTTGTATTATCATCCCGATATTTGCCGGTTGGACTAAAAAATCACCGCAATTATGTCTTCAACAACAAGAATTGAAATATTAGAGACAAGACAAAAGCACTAACCAGATGTAGCAGATTATTGATTATTCAACCTTAAATGCGATCTCTATGAGCACAGGATATAGAATGACCACAATGTTCTTAACAGTTAAATTAGAGATAGCTTAAAGGTTCATATATCAGAGGAGTACTCAGTATTAACATCCTTGATCGGTCGATAGAGTTATTTTGTTTCAAAATGAACTAATTTTTTAAATTTATCAAACTACACACTGCAGGGTCTCTCTATTTATTGTCTTGAAATAACTTTTCAAGGTTTTGTCAAATATTTAATACAAATATTTGGCTCGGAATGCGTCGACACCCGATATCATGAACACATACATAAATTTTTCCGGGATTATATGAGCTGGATTTTAAATGTATTCGTTCTGCATGCAGAATCTGAAACTTACAATGAAACGGACTGAGCAAAGAAAAATCAAAGCGAATGAGCTACAAATAAATTGATGGAAATACATGCATATGCATATAAATATGTACATATGTATGTATGTATGTATGTACATGTGTGTGTATGTCCAATTATGTTTGTACTTGTTGCGCACAAAGCTGATGATGACAGCCCGCTGCTGGAAAGGCGTTACAGAAGTGGGGCAGAAGACAAGGCAAGTCCAAACGATCGAGCAAATGAAGATCGCGCAATTGAAGAGACAGACGACGTTGTCGGGCGGGCCCCAACGTTGGTCGCCTTTGGTTGACTGACTGACTAACTGACTGCTTGGCTGGCTGGTTGGTTGGCTGGCTGGCTGGCTGGTTGAGTCAATAACCTCGCAGAGCGGCAGACGAAGAAGTACGAACCGCGCCTCCACAGGCAAGCGGCGAAGACTTCGAGTCAACTTGAATAATGAGGGGCAAGCAAAGTGAACTGAAAAAGTGGCGTGGCAAACGCGACTGCCGCCAACAATCAAAAGAAACAAAAACAACGGCAGCAATAAGACAAAAAAAAAAAAACAACTCGACAACGACGCATGCATGGTTGGCAACAACAACAGCAATGTCGGGCAGATGTATGAATGTATGTATGCACATTGTATAACACATACGTATGTATGTACATACCTAAATCTAAATCCCGAAGAATGCCAGCCAAAGTATTTATATGTATATGTATGTATATATGTATATATACATATATATATGTGAGTGTGTGTGTTACAGATGATCAGCAAAAATACCCAAAGAGCAAGTGAAAAAAATCACTTTATGAAAGAGACCAAACCAAAGTACATACACACGCAATTGGAATCGGAACGCGTTAAAGAAGAGACGCGGTTGTGAGCCTACTGATGACCATGGCCTGCAGAAAGGCGGAATGGGCCAATGAAGCACTGAAACCGAGCAAGAAAGAATCAAGGTAAAAAGAAAAAGAACAAGCCCGGAAACTAAACAGAACTCACTGACCAGGCGAACGAATATGCCAGCAATCCTTAAATAAAATGCATAGCTAGAAGTGGACCTCTTGACTTGTTGTTATTGGGCTCGAATCTTGAATGCAGAAAGTCCTGTGGCTGACACAAAAATTGATTGGGTTATATGCCTACATACACGTTTAGTCGTAAGAATATGCTTCCAGACTTGCGTATGCGAAAACACTCACATACTCGTATAAAGATAATTATTGTGAGTGTGTATTGCAAAACGTATCTTAAAGATACACTGACTGACTGCGAATTGAACTATAGATAATCAAGAGCAAACAGCAAAAACAACAGCACCGCTAGAAAAGTGACGCCAGCGACGGGGCAGGAGATAAAAAAATAAAAAGAATTTCACATTTGTACGCTGTCAGTCACAAATATTGAAGCGACTGGCGAGTCAGTCATTCGCTACACAATACAAACAAACTTACATTTGTATGTATGTATATGCATACACAGCCATGTAGATTGTTCGGTTACCCGTTCCCGTTCCCCTTTCCACCTAGCGCAAAAAGTACACAAACAAGCACACGACAAACGACGAGCAAGCACAGTGGGAGAAACGAACGATGTACAAGTATGTACATACATATGTAGCTCTGATTGAAAAATCATTTCCGCACAATGAAACCATTTAGCGAATTCGGTGGAAGAGCTCTACCACAAACGAGTGTACTGACTTCCCAAAGTTCTTTCAATTTGCTGAAATGCGAAACGAGTAAAGAATAAACTTTTAACCCACACATATACAAGCACAACACACGCACATGTGCTGAAATCTAAATTGATACATACATTCCTATTGCTTTAATTTGAAACATTAATTAATCAAATATAGTACACATTGGTTAATAAAAACACTATGTACTGCTAAAGGAAATGACAAGTAGAACATTGATTAAAAATAAAGAAGGGGCATACATATCTATATAATTCAAAAATACAAACCTGAATTAAATCAGTCTCTTCCACTGTGCGATGGCAATTTTGGTTCCTCCCCCACGCCAACAGCGCACCGTTAAACGCACCTTTTCCTTCACTGCGCGGTTACGTCGACGCCGGCGTCGATACTAGCGTCAATGTTGACGCTGATGTCGAAGTCAACGCTTGAATTCATATACATATGTATGTACATATATATGTACGTGTAGCTGCTGCTGTGCTGCTGTTGGTGCGCGCTTTTGCACACATACATGTGTATACACAACCACAAGAAGCACACCCGCTGCTGTTGTTGGCTTTGGCTTTGACCTGCCCTCGCCTCTTTTCAACCCATGGTCCGGTTCGGTGCGAATTGGTCCCACTGTGATGTGGTTGCTGTCATAAAACTTTAAACGAAGCATAAGAACAGCAAAGAACGACGGCAACAAAAACAACTATAACAACAACAAACAAGAACACAAAATGCCGACTTTTTTCTTGATTTTTTGTTTTATTTGTTGCTATAAATCGTCGTTGATGTAGTTTTTGCTGCTGCCAGAGAGCACTGTGGGCAAGATGGCATTTGATAACAACTTCAGAATGTATTTAAACTACCTCGCCAAATAATGCTCACCCCCTAAGCTGACAAATATACATTCTATTGTATTTATTGATTGCGCTGTCTGGGTTTCGATTTGCTTTAAATTAAAACTTAGACTACATTGATTGGTAATTAAGATTTTAGTTTACAAATACAATGTATGTATGTATGTATGTACATATGTATGTATGTACATTTGTATGTATGTATGTACATATGTATGTATGTACATTCATATATGAAAATATTCATATATGAAATGCAAATAATTATTTGATAAGCGTTAAGCGTATATCTGTCGTGCCGACACTGGGAGCAGAGCATTACAATAGTATAAGTATATTATCACACACAAGCAATGAATTATCAATAAAATGATGAATTTAATTTGATTAACAAAAAGAATAGTGTAGAGAATTTTGCGAAAACGTAATTGTCAACCACTGTGCAAACGAGCCGTCGTCCAGTCGCATTTTCAGTTTGTCCATCTGGCCGTTTGTCATGCCGTATGTCCGTCTGTCCATCTATCCATCTGTCCTGTCCGTTCGTGCGCTTTGTCAACTTGGCGCGCGGCTCTCACGCTTGGGTTCGCCGCGGCTCTCTTGTTTCGATTCCACTTGTAACCGTTGCTCGCTGTTGCCGTCTGGCTTGTGTTTTGCCCGTTGCCGTTGCCTCTTCAGTCGCCGCGTAATCACACACACATTTGGTTTAGTTTTTGCGGCGCTGCAGCGGCGCGTCTCAATATTTCAGAAATTGTAGAAATATATACAAAAAAAGTTGTGCAAAATTTAAACAGTAATGCAAAATGTGCGACCAAATTGTTTTAGCTAAGAAATGTGCGCTACAATGCATTTTTTGAGTAAGCAATAACGTTTTTCGTAAAGCCGACTGTCGCTTGCTCAGACGGCTTTGCAGTCGGCGTTTAGTCAGCAGCAGCAGCGACGCTGGCCGCGCTGCTTATTGCTTTACAGATAGAGAGAATATGATATTCATATATGTATGTATGTATGTATGTACATACATACATATATTGCATTTTAGTGAAAAGTGTTGCAATGACTTTTATGAATGAATCTACAGCAAAAATTTGCGTAAAGCAGATGTTTTTTATCGTGTGATTAACGAATGGCATTTTCTGTTTCGCTCTAAGTGTACTCCTCGGCATGGCGCTTAGAATTTAGTGTATCGATGTGTGTTTCTGCCTTTTTTTCGTTTCATGTCTTTCGTAAATGAAAATTTATTTATCACTTTTTTAAAAGTGCACTAATTACGAATGTAATAACTTTCATTATGAAAAAAGTGTAGGATTTCACACACACACATTTCTTACCCAGTCGCTCTTTGCGTATGCAATTTGTGCGTAAATTTAATTTCGCCGCGTATTTTTTGTTTGCCGTGGAGTATTCGCCGTTGCTGCTCTCTCATGCAGGTGTAGTAGTGAGAAGCGTTCGCTCTTTTTCTCACGCACACACATAAACATTCGCTGCTGCTGTTGTTTCCGTATTCTTTTTGTGGATGCTGTTTGGCGTGTAGTTTTTTTTTGTAGTTTTGTTTTGCTTTGTGTGTTTCTGTTGTCTCTCTTTTGAGCCAACATTCACTACTCGCTATCGGCATTGCCAACACACAAAAATTCATTTAAGTTTTGCTTTCATTCAATAAATAATTGATCTATTATTGTTTTGTTTTATTTATTATCTACATATCTTTTTTTCCAGAACCAAGTAATATAATAACAGATGCGCATGTAACGCACAACAAGTCCAAGAAGAACAAACCCGCTACCCTACAAACTTGGTATTAACATGAACAAAAATGCCGGCGATGGCAGCGGCAATGATGGCAAAAACTCGAATAATCATGGCACTGTAGGCGGCAGTGGTAAGGGCGGCTCCAATGCCGGAGGGGGCGCTGGAGCCGGCCCACATGATCCCACAGGTATTTTAGATGCTGCTTCGCTCTTTGGTATGTAACACTATTTCAAAAAGTCGTGGATGTGTCCTTTTTAACAAATCCCATTTACAGCGTACTGGGGCCGAGATCCCACCGGAGCTGCGGCTGCAGCTGCCTCCAATCCCCTGTTTAGCTCCCAGTTCAATGCAGCTGCCGCAGCCGGCTTGGGTCTATTGCCAAATGCGGGTGCTGCAGCGGCAGCCAATGATCGTTACTCCATGGCAGCTGCAGCGGCTGCTGCTGCAGGACATCATCATCAAAACACCATGGCCGTTGCAGCATCACAGGCCGCTAGTCTAGCAGGTCTGCATCCAGCAAGTGAGTAAAATGTCGGCAAAAAATTAATGTAGTATATTGTCAAGATGTTGTCACCCATAACACAATTTCTGGTTTGTAGTGATTTTAAGTTTTATCGCATCGTACATACATATATGTACATACATACATGTACATACATATGTATGTATATACATTCATATGTATATATAAAAACGTAAAATTGTATAATTTTGATTGGGCAAGAACAATAACTAAAGACAAGTTAGAATTTTGGATACGCTTAAGCTTTTTATAGCTCCCGCAATTACTGTACAAATTTGAACATCAAGCATTCCTGGATGTTGGTCTTAAGTTACTATTTGAGATTAATACTTGTATTTTTTGTTGGAGTTCAACAGCAAATTCCTTGTATTTCTGGCAAGGTGTTTGAAGAAAACTCTCCTATATCAAATGATGCAGGCTATTGGCTTTACGCTGAGCGGCTTTATTGTAGGCCACCTCTGCGAATAATGGTCGAGCACACTACCATATTGTCCCCACATATTTATTTTCTTTACATTTATGTATGTTTGTGTGCGGCAATTAATCGCTTTCTTTTGTAGGTTGGTGGTCAATGGCCCAATTGGCCGCTCAGGACTACTTTAGCCGTCTGCAGGCCTCTGGCCTATCACCCTTTCCTCATCCAGACTTGGCGGCCGCCTTTGGTCCAGCTGCGATGGGTATGGGCACGGGTGCAACAGGTGGTAATGCTGCCTCTGGAAGCGGAGGTGGCATGGGCGGAGCGGGTGGCGGCTCTGGTGGTGGCAGTAGCAGTTCAAACTCATCCAGCAGCAAATCGAACAAATCCCGAAAGGAAAAACGCGCCGCCCAACAGCAACAACAACACCAACAGCAACAAAATCTCGCGAATAGTCTGAATGCTGCCGCTGCAGCGGCCGCAGCAGCTGCTGCTAATAATCCCGCGGCAGCCTTGGCCAGCATGCACGGCTTTGGAGGACCGGGAACAGCAATGTCATCGTCATCGTCGAACGCAGGCATTGGTTCGATATCAACGAGCAGTGCAGGTCACAGTGGCTATAAGGTAAGTAACTGAATAGGCCAGATTGGGCATAATTGAGATAATCTTCTACTTGTAGTCCACGGCAAGCGCTTATGGCAAGCCATCCACGATGACCAGCGGCATGTCAACGACACCCGGTTCAGCCTACGATCCAGTCACCTTGCATAAGGAGTTGCTTGCCATGCAGGCAGTTGCAGCTGCCGCTTCCGGTTCCAATGCAGGCGGTGGTGCCGGCTCCGGAGGTCTTGGCGGTATGGGTGCATTGGGTAGCAACTCTAACAGTTCCTCCAGCAAGAAATCCTCTTCATCGTCGAACGCCGGCTCCATGCATGGTCATGGGCTGTCTAATCTGGGCATGGGCATGGGGAATGCTTCTATGGGCGCGGGCATAAATGTAGGTGGTGGCATCATGTCCACGGGCAAGTCGGCGACTAGTGTCAGCTCATCCAGCAACACATCAATGAGTGGCATGCATCCCATGGCCGGAATGGGTGGAAGCACCACACCTCTTATGTCACCCCATGGGGCGTTGGGTAACAGCGGCTTGTCTGGCGTTGGGGGCGTTTCATCCAGCGGTTTGGGCTTGGGGGGTTCATCTGGCAAGGATCGGGATAAAAATAATCCATCGCTGAATGCCTTAAACTCGCTTTCCCAGTTCGGAGCGTTGGGTATGACGCCACAGCAAAGTATGCAGGCGGCCATGAATGCATTCGTCGCGAGCACGGGAGCGGGACCCACATCAACGGTTACGTCATCGGGCGTGCCGCAATCATCACAACAGTCCAGCACTTCGGGCAGCGTATCTGGCGGCAAGACGGCAAAGGATTATATGTCTGGAGCCGGAGCAGGAATGATGAGGTAAGCGGGCTGTACTTGCGCATGGACAATATATGTGTGTCCTGCCGATATACTGACAAGTGCTCCTTCTGCTTACAGCGGCAACAGCGGTAACGGAGGTAGCAGCAGCAGTGAGCATCCGTCATTGCTGGGCGTGCGACTGCCGCCCGACACAGAGATTATCAAATACACATCCTCCATTGTGGGACCCAAAATTCCCGGTACTACATCACGTGGTCGCAAAAAGACCATTTCCGAAACAGAACAACATAACAACCAACAGAAACACCAACAAGAACAACAACAACATCAACACCAATTACTCCAACAACAACAAAAAGAGTTAGACAGCACAACAACAAATGCGCTTTCTTCTCTCCTTGCATTTCCAGGTCTCAGTCCCGCGAAGCGGGCTAGACTCGAAATGGAGTATGCGGCAATGGCCGCTGCGGCCCAACAGCAGCACGGAATGATGGGTGGCACGGGCGTCAGCGCAGCTGCAGCAGCACTGGGCATGTCCGGCATTGGTGCGAGCGCTCTGGGAAGTCTGAGTGGATTACCCAGTAGTGGCGGTGGTGGTATGAATCCCCTGGAACAATTAAGTGTGTCGAAATCAACCACAGTCACAAGCACCGCCAGCTCGGCGTCTAGTAGTAGTATGGCCAGTATGCTTGGACAAACAGCAAGCGGTCGCGACTCATCCAGTGATCGTGTAGAGGTCATCAAATTGCCACCAACCATCACCTCGAACGGCGCCTATAATCTGTCCAATAAGGGAAAAGAAATCCATGATCTGACCACGGACAATGCCACCGGCTCTGGGGTTAATCTCAGCCTAAAATCCAATCTATCAGGTAGCGGCGCCATTGGTTCAGCGTCCAACCCTATAACTATTGATGATTTCGATGCGCCACTCAACTTGTCCATGAAACCAGCCGATAAGAGCAGCACTTCAAACACAACCGCCTCCACTTCAGCACTTGCCAATCTGACTAGTGATTATCAGGCATCGAGCAGTGGCACTTCCAATAGTTTACAGAGCCTAAGCTCCATAACGGCAGCTTTGGGTGGCACTGGTGGCATGCCTGGTGGTTCCTTAACGGCTAGTGGTGGTAGTGGACCAGGCGGAGCTTCTCCAGCTCCTGCATTGACTGGCGCTGGTGCGGCGGCTTCCACCACATGCTCCTCGTCATCGTCTTCGTCGGCTTACAAGGAGGGACGACCACGAAATTTGGGCAGGGGCGTGTCCAAGCCCAAAAAGAACACCGTAGCATCACTCCTGGCCCAATCCCGTGCTGTGGGGCTGAAGCCAATGCTGGCTACTCAACAACTGCTACAACAAGGCGCGGATATTGTAAGAATTCCTAGCAACATGATTTGTATCTAAATGGCTAACTGAATAATTTCTTTCGCTGTGTTTGCAGGAAAAGATACGCCTTGCACTGAGTGAGGCCAACGCACATATGGAAACCTCTACCGACTCGGAAAGCATGGCTGCTGAGAGTGGAATGTCCGAATCAGAGAGCGAGGATGCCAATATACTCAACGTGTCGGAACTGCGAGTGCCACTCGACCTGGGCTGGAAGCGAGATACGGTCATTCGCGGCCTCACCAAGCAGGGCCAAATAAGGGGCGAGGTCACATATTACGCGCCGAACAGCACCGTACCGTTTAAGACAATTGGCCAGGTTTTTGCTGTGAGTTTGTAGGGCGACTTTATAATTAACTACCAACACACAACTAGAGATGGGCTCGGGATGCAGAAACGATCAGTATTCCTTCAGGACCTCCAAATACAATTCGATTTAGTTTCTTAATGCGTTCTGAGTGCCTCCTCATCTGACAAGAGCAAAAAGAGGCGGTTTTTAGAAAAATATTACAGTTCGATGAATAGTAACTATTCTAACATTACATAAATAGACATTGTTAACTGTTATTTGAATGATATGTTACTGTGTCCACTAACAGACAAAACCGGCATTATAAGTCTTAGGGTAGCGTAGGAGAATCGAATCACTGCCCGCCCATCTCTAAACGCCACTTATACTGCAAACGCATGACGCACAGACATATTTGTATTCACACCTATTATTATTTAGAAACCTTAATCTAATTCATGGCTTGCACACGCTTTCTCTTTACAGTATATGGAGCAGCACCCATCGAATCTTACACGTGAAAATTTCAGTTTCTCGGCACGAGCTATTGTTGGGTCATTTCTGCAGCCCGCTCCACCGCCCTATGCCAACGACGGCGAGTACATACGCATGACTGACGAGGATGTGGCCAAGCGGCTGGAGGACCTCAAGGTGTTCACGCGCCAGACACTCAATGTGGAGCAGCGCATTGAAATCGCCAAGCAACAGCAGGCGATGCGCGATGCCAAGAAGCAACAGAAGGAAGAGCTGGCTCGCAATAAGGAGAAGGCGCGACAGGAGAAGAATGCTAAGCTAGAGCAGCAGCGCAAGGAGAAGGAGCTGAAGAATCAACAGGCTATTGAGGTAATTACATGTTTAACCTAATGTTGCCCAATAGTTCATAATGTGTTCCCTTCTGTACATTGCAGGAGCGCAAGAAGCGTCAGGAGGAGTTAGAGCGTCTTAAACAGGAGGAGTTGATAAAGAAACAACAGGTGCGTAGTGCAGTTTTCTCGAGGCTCTGCCATTTTATCAACTACATTGATCTTTATTTTGTCTGTCGTAGGAGAAAGAGAAGCGACGCCAAGAAGCCATTTTAGCTAAAGAACAGGTATAAATGCAATTCCCATGCGCATCTTCTCAGTTCGTCGTAGTTTTGATGTGTAACCAACGAATATACATTTTGCCTAATTTCGCCACTAACATGCTTCTGTTGGTTGTACGCCCATTGAATTAACTATCCGCCGTTAGTCCCTGGGCAAGATCATACCCATTAATACTCTTACTTCTCTCTCCATCAAACACATTTATAGGAACTTCAGAAGCAAAAGGAGCTTCTGCTGGCCGCCGAAATGGAACGCGAGCGCCGTCGCCAGCATATGAATCTCATCCGGATGCTAGAGTTGCGGCGCAAATTCGAGGAACGTGAGAAGAAGAAGCACCAGTTGGTACTCGATCGTCTGATATTGCGAGAGAAGCGTATGGCCGAGCGAAAGCGCGATGCTGAAATCCTGCAACTCATCAGGTTATTATCTTTGAACATGTTCCAAGTTGTGGTTTGAGAATGCCTAAAGAAAGGCTTTTCAAATGAAGAATTCAAGGGATTACAAATCATAATTAGCCTTAAGTGTGTAACCTTGTGTAACCCTTTGGCTTTTTCGCGATAAATTTGGGACTATTGTACCTTTCCCATAGAAACGGCTTGATAAAATTGTATATATTTGGACGAAACAGGACTACTTCATTATAAGCTATTTCGAATAGAAACAGAAGCCTTCTAAAGCAGCAAATATCAGACCAAGCGCAATGCAACAATATCAAGGTGTCTTGTTTATTAATTTTATTTGAAGTACTGTTTCCTACCTAATTATTACAACATTTGATTGGCAAATAAAAGAACATTTCGTTTCATAGGAAAGGAGTTCGATGTGAATTGGAGAACACATTTATAATAACTTAAATATGTGTATATTTTTGCAGAAAACCCAACGAGGACTCTGAGTTGCAGCAAGAGGTGGACATTCCAGAGGTGGATCGGATTGCTGGCAATCGTCTGCCAGGGCAGGCGATGGCCGATCTGTTGATGGTTTTTGAGTTCCTGCACAACTTTGGCGAGACTCTGGGCTTTGACATGGAGTCGCTGCCATCACTGCAAAATCTACACGATGCTCTCATTAGTGATAGCAATGCCGATGCTGAGGAGGAGTTGCTGTCGGTGATGACGCATCTGCTTGTTTGTGCCATTGAGGATCCGGGTGTGCCCAATCCTGGGCGGCATACCACATTGCTTGGCCAGTCCTTACGCAATGCCGACATCACGAACTCAAATGTTTCCGAAATTTTGCGCATTTATCTGTATGCCACGGCCACAGGTGAAATTCGCCAGATGCACGGCATCACCGTAGATCGGGAACGAGAGCGACGCGTTCCTGATCATCATCAGCTCGATGCAGACACTGCCACGCATTCGGCCAAGAATCAGGAGTACTATAAGTTGCTGCACGAGAACGACACATGGAAGATGTCGCATTCTCTGAAAGACCGGCCGTTTGTGGCATTGAATCCAACGCGTAAGGCGCAAATGCTTGCGCATCTTTGTAATGACCTGCTTATGAACAAGGCCGTGTTGCGACAAATCGATGGCAGCCTGGAGACATGCGCCCAGATGCGCAAGGAGAAGTACATGACGGACATGAAGGTACGCAAGTATAAAGCCCTGCACATGCGGAAGGCGCGCATCGAAGCCTACGAAAAGGCCCAGGCGGAACGCGAGGCAGCTATGCAGGCACTAATAACGCAACAGAAACTTGATGCCGAGCGTATCGCCAAGGAGTTGGAGGCCAAAAAGGCCGAACAAGCTGAAGAGAATGCGAAGGTGGCGGCAGCGGCGGCTGCAGCTGCAGCAGGACCACCCGCAGTATCTGTAGCCACCGTCGGCGGGGAGCAAAACGAAACTGAGCAAAACACAACAGAGCAAAACAACGGGATCGCAAAGGAGGATGGCGATCCGATAGTAACAATCCCAGAAGAGGGTGTGGCAGCACTTGAACAGCAGTCACAACCCATGGAAGTTGATAGTGATGCTTTGACAACGACTCCGACGACACCTCGCAAGGAACCCGACTCAGTTGCACAGCCCCAAACTCCTGCCACGCCTATACAAATCTCTGAGGTAAGCCCCTCTAAGAGCAGCGTGGGCGATGGAACACCCATCAAGCAGGTTCCGGGCAAAATTGATGATTTGGCCGCCACGCCTACTTACCATCACAATGGCGCATCGGGAGTGGGAGGGGGCGGCACTACGCCAACTGGCGATATGAATGCGCTGCTGCAGGCTAAGAAGAGTGGTGCGCGTAACTCGATAAACGAGGATGGGCATGCCGATGTGAGCATCATTGACGACGATCTCTCCGATCTGGACTCGGAAATCACAAATGTGGAAGAGGACGAGGACAATCGTTTGAGCGCAGACGAGCTGCAAAAGAAGCTCGATAAAATAGTGCGTGCCTCGCTCAATTGTAAGGAGGCGCTGGAGAAGAGCACCAATCAGTTACGAGCCGCTTGCTTCGGACAGGATCGATTCTGGAGGCGCTACTGGAAACTGCCGAAGGCTGGTGGCATTTTTATTGAGGCGCTGGAGTCGGCGCAAAATGATATTTGCGGCTATCACGAGGCACTGGAGGCCATGGACGAACAGAAGCAGGAGCGCTCGATTGTTGCGGACAACGACGCATCAGATCCAGGAGCCGTGGCAGATGAGCTGGCAAAGATTCCGGCTGATTGTGAGGAAGAGCAGAAGCAGCAACCGGACACAACAACAGAGCCCATGGAAGTTGACGGAGAGGTTGAAAAATCAGTATCAGCTGCTCAGGAAATGGGACAATCGTTGCCTATTCCAGACAATCAGGAAGAAGCCGAGTTGGCGCCCACATCGGCTGGCATCCAGGAGGATGATGACGATGATGTGACTGAAATCAACAAGGTAGAGCCAGAGATTGTCGATTTGGGCGATGACGATGACGAGGTTCCCCCAGTTAAATCCGAAGTTATACCAGCAAGGCCCGAGATCAAAGTTAAATCCGAAATGGAACTGATGGGTCCGCCGCCCACCGTTGTCTCTACGAAGACGGACTTTGAAGCAGAAATCAAGATACCCACAATACCCGGTCTTATACCAACCATGAACATGAACAACAGCAATGGCAGCAACAACAACAACAGCCTGAACCACTGTGATAAGTTGGAAAACAACAATTTGGCCATGGGCGTGATTCGGCCTGAGGATGTGAAACGGGAAGACGACTGCATAATTGTGTCAACCACGCCCGGCGACGATACGCCCAAATGGTTCTCCATAGTCAAGCGCGAGGTGCCACTGATTAGTGAGCTGTCTGCCGAGGAGGGCGGTGTCGTGGCCACCGAGGTGCAGTACAACTATGCAAACATTACATGTGGTTCGCAGCTTCAACTGCAAGGCCATCCCTGGGATCTGGCCAATAACATGCAATATTACACGATACCCATGGAGGAGTGCAAGGTGGATCCACTGAAGATCACGCAGGAGTGCATATTCTCACTATCCGGCCTGGACGAGAAACAAATGGAGCTGAAACTTGATGAGTACGAGGCCAAGAAACTAGCGGCAGCAACGACGACAACGACCACTTCAAAAAACGGTCTGGCGTCTCCTCATCGTCAGGCTACGATGCGTGATCGCGCACTCAGCGGTGATGAGGAGCAGCAGCCCAAGTTGGAGCCGGCGACCAAGTTGGTCCGCCCGACAAAGTCTGAGAGTGGGGATGAGTTTTTTCGTTTGCGCACTGATGCCGTGCCGGACACGGGAGGCGAACAGAAGCCGAAACTAGAACTGCGTCTGGACGAGTCAGCGTCCCATCCCTACGTGCAGAACATTGTCAATCTCTCGCTAAATAGTGTGCAGACCTACATACCTATTGACATACCCCTGCCGCTCTCCATGACGCCCGACGAGCACAAGATGCTGGAGCAGGTGAAGTTGACGGGATTCCCGGACCGCGTACATGGAGTTTACGTACCCAGACGTCATCGTTACGGTTGGTGGCAATTGGACGATGAGCAGAAGGTTCGCCAGCTGCTACGCACACTGAATCCTTCCGGACTGCGTGAGCGCGAGCTGCAGGAGAACCTCACACGCTTCCTTGCCCTCGAGGAGCCGTTGGGCGTCAATTATCAGTTGAAACTCCACGAGGTCGACCAGCTGGGATTGCTCGACTACATGCCGCCCGATGCCGTCGGCGACTGGAACCCAAAGGTGGCCAAGCGCGTGGAGCTGGCGTTACTGGAGCAACTTGAATCACTGGAAGATAAAATAGCGAGTGCCTCCATGCAGCTCAAGAACTGGCAGCTGCCCACGCGAATCGAGAGCGAGCTGAACCTAGAGCCGGATGACGCCGACGTCACCGAAGAGGACTTTGTGAGCATCATACCCATGATACGTGAACGCATTATCGATCTTGAGGCGAACATCGAGCGACGCTACTTGAAGCCCCCTCTAGGCTCGCAAACCGGAGATGCACACCTCGCGGTCATAGCCCAGAACCAGCAGACATCTACACAGACGCAGAACTCAGCCTCGGCCGCCGCCTACTTACTTCAGATGCAACAACAACAACAACTCTTGCAGCAGCAACAGCAGCAGACGAACAACATCAATCCTTCGTCCTTCAATGAGCGAACCATGGCCTTGGCCGCTGCTGCAGCGTCTGCTACGCCCAGCACCAGTGCCGCCGCTGCAGCCACGGGTGGCGGCGCGATTTGTGAAGGCAGCGCCCTGGCCGGGTCTGGGCTGGCGGTCAGCAACGAGCAGGCGTCCGGCGGTGCTTCGCCGTCCAGCAACTGCGACAGCGACAAGGACGAGAAGGTGGAGAACATACCCAAGGGTCTGGTGCAGTGGCGCGACGCCGTGTCGCGATCGCACACAACCGCACAACTCGCGATGGCGCTCTACGTTCTTGAATCGTGCGTAGCCTGGGACAAGAGCATCATGAAAGCGGTAAGTCCACAACTTCCACACTCGCTTGCCAAGCAAAACATTCTTACACTCAGTCGCACACTCACTCATCCGCATGCACCCATAACATGTTAAAGCATCAATGCACCCGGAGCACTAATATTTGCCAGAGTTGTGCTTCTGTTATTAGTGTATACTAGTTCGGTCTCTTACTTTTCAATGCTCTCTCCCTAAAAAAAAAAGCTGAGTCGAGCAAATATCGTTTCCGGTACGCGTACTCGTATCTCAATAGATGATTGTACATATTTCGGTTATCAATTGGAAAATTAGGAAAGGGTACTTCCGTTAGTTAACTATCACATTTAATTCATAACACCATTTCATGGTAAGACATAAAAATCTTCTAAAAGGAGGTGTCGAGTTAAACGGTTTATTTCCTTTTCGAAAACGAGTTACGATTTGCAGCATAAATCATCTTTTTTAAGACCTACATACAAATACACACATACTCGTATGTGAGAATGCCTAGCTTTAAATATTCATTGAACATTTTAAATTATTAATTGCATGGTAGTTTTGTTGTACAATGTCGCGCTTTGGTTTTCAAAATTAATTCCTGTTTTTTTTTCATTTCATTTATCTTTTCCTTTTTGTTAACACTCGCTGGAATGTTTGACTTGATTGTTGTTTGTGGTGTTCTCGTGCTGTCTCCTTGTTAAAATCCAAACGAAAATTTAACGCTTTTATACTCACACACACACACACACACACACAACTTACATTTACACACACACCGCCATATGTTACACGTAAAAAAAAAAAACGAAACAAAATTAAATGCTTTGTTGCCGAATGCCCCTGCGAAACAATTCGTGACGTAATGGACGCAACGCAATAAACTTAACGAACGCATGACCATTGACAAATGATCACGCACAAAAGTATGCAACACTTGTGCACAATAAAAGAAAGAGCGGCGCCCAAAAGCATGCAACCCCAAAATCAAAAAAACAGGCTAACAGCAGCGCCAAGAACAAGAAAAACAAGAAGAAGCAGCGTCAGGATAAAACGCCAGAGAAACGGGAAACGTTGACAAAGGATCTGAAAGGCGCCAAAGTGACGATCAAAATCAATTTGAAGGCTCTAAGCGATGCAATGCAGCGCACCACAAATGGCAACAACAACAGCAACAGCAACAAGAAAAACAAGAACGACTCTGACTCGAACTTGGACTCGGCCACAGAGACAGACTCGGACATTGAGACGACGAACACTAGCAAAAAAAGAAAGTGTAGAGGTTCAGCCACTACTACAAACTCTTCCAAATATTCGAATTCCTTACAGAATTGCCAATTCTGCACTTCGGGTGAGAACGAGGATAAGTTGCTGCTCTGCGATGGTTGCGACAAGGGCTACCATACGTACTGTTTCAAGCCCAAAATGGACAACATACCAGATGGCGATTGGTGAGTATTGCTTCGAGATTGATTCCCAGTGTAAAAAGTGCGACTCCCTCCAATCCTTTCTAATACTAATTTACATGCCCAATCACACCAAATTTCGCCAATGCACACACACATTTGTCGCGCCGTTTGATTTGTTCATGTTACCTTGTGTTCTATTCTTTGTTCTTTCATGCCCCGCACTGTGCGCGTCCTGGCTAAGACATCTCTCCATTTATGAGGCCACTTCTAATCGATCCACAACTCATTTCAGGTATTGCTATGAGTGCGTGAACAAGGCGACGAACGAGCGCAAGTGCATTGTCTGTGGCGGCCACCGACCCTCTCCAGTGGGCAAGATGATTTACTGCGACTTGTGCCCGCGTGCTTATCACGCCGACTGTTACATCCCGCCGTTGCTGAAGGTGCCGCGCGGCAAGTGGTATTGCCACGGATGCGTAACCAAAGCACCGCCCCCAAAGAAACGCACCAGCAGCAGCAAGTCTCGGCGAGATCGTGACTCGACCACGGCCGCCAAGCGACGCAATGACAAGCAAATTACGACACCGGCAACCTCCAATCTGGGCAGCCTCGAGAACTTGCCCCAACTCAGCAATGCCGAGCAGCAGCAACAGCAGCCACAACAACAACAACAATTCCTGTTGCACTCATCGCAGCAATCATTGAACTCCTCGCACGAGGAGTCCATGACCTCCCTGCCAGCGCCGTTGAGGTGAGTAGCAGTCGAAGCGTCCGATTCGGCGGCCTTGCCACGTCCATTGTAATGCTCTGTAACCCACCCTCTCTGTGTCTGTGTCTTAGTCCGGCGCACTCGATTGCCTCGGCAACGTACGACGAGCAGCAGCATAGCAACTCCATAGATGCCACACGCTTTCAGGCCAGCAATGCCAACAGCAACACCCAACAACAGTTGCCCAGCGAGCCAGATGGCCAGCTAACAAGTTATCCGGCTTATGCTCCAGCCCACGGCCTCGTGCACCAGCCGACGACCTTGCCTGCCAACTTCGGCGCTGGCCTGCCTTCGTTGCCGACGCCACTGCTACACCAATCGCAACAACAACAACAACACCAGCAGCAGCAGCAACAACTACAACAACAATCACAACAGCCGCAGCCTTTGCAGTTCGTGGCTGTGGGAAACAGCACGCCCTTGCCACCATCTGCAGCCATATCGCCACGTGCTTTGACGCCGACGCGCACACCCACCCCAACGGCGACGCCACCGCCTCCCCTGCAACCGCCGACACCGAATGTGGCAGCCCCACTGTTGCCGCACATGCAGCAGACGTCACCCAGTTCCCTGAACGTCACCTGCCAGTCGCCACCGCAACAACTGATGGCGATGCCATCTCCTCGCGCCTGCACACCAACGCCGCCCAGCAATACGACACAAATGTCGCCGCCGCCCATTAATATACATGCCATACAGGAGGCTAAGGAGAAGCTGAAGCAGGAGAAGAAGGAGAAACACGCCACCAAGAAGCTCATCAAGGAGCTGTCTGTCTGCAAGACCCTGCTCGGCGAAATGGAAGTGAGTAGCCCATTCCCTCTCCAAACTGTTCCAAATCACTAACTTAGCGACTTCCCAACAGCTGCACGAGGACTCGTGGCCATTTCTGTTGCCAGTGAATACCAAACAGTTTCCCACATATCGTAAAATCATCAAAGCCCCAATGGATTTGTCCACCATCAAAAAGAAATTGCAGGACTTGAGGTGTGTATTGCGGATGAGTTCGTTACAAATTGTAACAGTTTTCAAATGAAATAACATTTAACCACAACTGAGTCGCTAAAAAGCTGGAAAATTAAAAATGTTCACTGTACTTGCCCATTTAGAATAGTCAGCCCTTTTATTTGAATGTAACTTTATTAAACCGGAAAAATGTAACTTCTTGCAGCTACAAGTCGCGTGAGGATTTTTGCAGCGACGTGCGTCAGATTTTTGACAACTGCGAAATGTTCAATGAGGATGATTCCCCGGTCGGCAAGGCCGGGCATGGCATGCGAAAGTTCTTCGAGTCGCGCTGGACTGAGCTCACCGATAAGCACTCTTGATACCCTGCACCGCATATGCCCATTCAGGGGGCTATTACCACACCCCCCACGCAAATATCGAGCAGTGTGTCAGCATTGGGCGAGTTGGCAGTAAACCCAGCAGCAGCAACAACAACAACAACAGCATTGACAGCAACAACAACAACCAGCGAAACGACAACGCCAGTGACAAGTGTATCACAATTTTGGTGAAGAGATTTGTAAAACACAATTTGTATTTGTAAATATCAATATACATATAAATAGTGAAATGAGGTAGCTGTAGCTTGTATTATTATATTAAGTTCCGAAGCCTATGTATAAGCATGAAAGCATGAAAGTATTGAACGTCCTGCGTTTAAGCCAGCCAGCCAGCCAGCCAACGCATTGGTATGGCTTTGAATGTCTATAAGAAAAGCCAGGCCAAGGCGAACAAATTTTATTTTACATAGATATTTGTTTAGTTCGTAAGAGAGCAGCAGCAACAACAGCGACAACAACAAAAACAACAACAACAACAGTATATAACCCATAACTATTAGTATAAGACAATGGCAGTGAACGGCAACAAGAAATTAAATTAAAAAAAAAAGGAACAAACCTACATACATTTGTATGTATGGTATATGTAAGTATGTTTCGCGTTATCGGTTGCGCCAATTATCATGATTTGAACAGTATTTCCTGCACACATCTGCAGAGCTTTGTCTACCTTTGGTTTTTCAATTTGTATTTATTGTAACGCTGGCAATTATTGTACACTTGCCTCGCTGTCTGCCACTTTTAAGCGCTCATTTATTTTTAAAGTTGTACTTATAAACACACACACACACACACACATGCGACTCTGTATATGCATGCACCACCCATAAATGTATTTATGAACTATACATACATTATAACAATATACTCAACACGCTGTAGGAGTAAGGAATGAACGAATGATTTTGTAACTATAAATGAATTAAGTGTATTAAATTATTTACTGTGTGTAAATTTAAACAATGTAGTTTCGATTCTTTTTATTTCCCACGGACATCAAGCGTTATTACTCCAGAAGGGTAAATGCGACAGAAGAGAGCGTAGAAGTAATACATTTTTATAAAAAAAAACCCCCAACAAAAAACACTCGGAGCTCGTAGAAAGAAAATGAGATTCGAGGCAATTGTGTCAGTTTTGGGCGACAGATAACAGACATTTAAATTAAACGAACTTTGGCAGTATACCTTTTTAAAGTTACGATAAAATATTACCACACACATTTACACCATACATACATATATATACATATGTAATGCATGAACAATTAATTTTCCGAAATTTCAAACAGTTTGGCAATTAACGAACAAATCATGAATGGGAAATGCAATAAAATCTAAGCTGTAAATAGGAAATAACAAATATTCGAAAGCAAATGCGCAAAGAACGCATATATAGTGCATATGTATGTGCAGAGGAAATGTTAAATATATATAGATATATATATATATATATATATACTAGCTATGCATAACGATATATACAAGCATTAATTAACTAATATGTATTTACACATACGCCTACATACATACATACTACATATTGAACATTTTGAATAAATAAACTCATTTGCAGTGCAGCACAATAATTAATTGAAAGAGCGAACGATCGAAGGAAAACAAAGCAAAACAAATGTTGAACGCAAAACAAGAAGGAAAGAAAGACAAGAAACGAAATAAACCAATGTGCAAATTGAACACATGTTGTATCCGAAATAGTTTTTGAATTTTTGAAATGTTAAGCAACAAACAACAATATGCATCCGACAGACAAAACAACCTCAATAAGTACATACAGCTACAGCAAAGCAAAATCGAACTACCTACGATTGGTTAAGCAGAAATTTTAAATGAATTACAAGTACATACAAAATACATACATACATAGTTTGTATAAAGTACATATTATATGTTATGCCATTAAATAAAACCAATTTAGCTTTCACAAATACATACATACATACATACATGTAATGTATCTAGCAAGATGAAGTTATTTACATACGCGCGTGTACTCGTATAAGCAATGCCAATCGGTTGAATGTTGCTTCTGTAAATATTTCCGAAAAAGCTTCAGTTAAACATATATGTATTTAATAATATAATATATATTGTATATATAGACGACATTGACAGCACAGCCCCACTGACCCCAACCAACTCCCACAAACCACCCAAAGCACCCAAAGCACCCAAAACACCCGAACATTCCGAACATTCGTAATACAAACATATAAAGCCGTTACCCCATCGGGTTCGGCTCGTTATTGGCATTCATACAATTGTGTCATTTCAAATACATACATACATACATACATAAATACATGCATACATATACGAGAATGTGTGTATGTTTGTATAATTATAAAAGCAAACAAACATGGCGTTTTAAAGGAAAGCAAATAAGGATTTATCATACAAGTATGTATCTGTACTGGGCGTTTGAATGTTGATGACGAAAACTTTTAGCCATAAACAGGGCCGTGGCACTGGGCACTGGGTCTGGCTACTTTTCGCGTTTACCAACACTATTGCTTAACCAAAATATTCAGTTGGGATTACGTTTGAGCGCCGCCACCGTGTGGAATAGATATAAAGAATGAAAACAATAACTACAAGTACATATGTATGCATGTTTGTTGTTTTTGGTGATAAACATTTAATTTTAACGCAAGCAGTACCAGTAATAAATAAAAACATACATATATACTACCATATAAGTACAGACATACGAGTGCATAAGCATTGAAATCACCTTTGAAGTGAACAGCGCAAAAAGTAATGCGAAATGGCAGAAATCAGAGATAATAGAGAGGAGAGGTCAACATTTTCGACAATTGTGCACATGTGAAAAATATATAAATAATACTATCAAAATATCTACTATATCTTTTATTTTGTCCGGTTAAATGGAAAATGGAGTTAGTGATGTGACAGGGGTTAGGCCGAGTGGTGAATACTCCTCGCCTTTGATGATCAAGCCACGGCCACTAAGTCATTCCATCACCTCTGGCATATGGGTGTGTTTCCAGTTCTGTTCACTTCCTGTTCCTATCTGTCATTGCTATGCTAATTGGAGTGGAGACGGGCACCCTATATCTGGCGCAGATGCCTACCTTTGATGGGGCCAGCAATAAATGTGCTAACGTTTCAGCCACGGTGATATACTTTCGGACTCTCCCAGCAGCCACACGAATGTAAAGGAGCTGCAAAATAGGTAGTGTCCTGCGAATGTAAGTAAGAAAACCGATCTTACACCTCTAACCTACCCTGGCACCAATATTTTAGCTTACTTACAAACCTAAAAAGAATAAATTTTCCCCCTCGAAAGCGGGGTTGCGACAAATCAGAGTCTTCTTATATACTATATTTCGAATATCATAATGAATGATTAATAGTGAAAAGTCCTTCAATAGAATATGCACCTATTGAGGTTAAAAGTTCACACAATTATTTTGTTAAATACCAAAAATTCTACTTGGATCTATTCTTAGCCAATACCGATCCAACTTTAGAATGGTGTTTGCCCTTCTCTAACTTGATTATTTCTGGTTCGAGATATTTTGCGATAAGACAATAAGGTGAGCTATTCGGATCTATATATTTGAACGAAAAACACAGATTGTGCCTTAAAGACAAGAAAATTGCAGGGACCGCAAAGAATGGATTTTTTATTTTTAGTTTTAATTTATTTATGGACTTAAAAAAAAAAGAAATTCGAATCTTTTTTATGTTTGTTACCTCAGACTTGACTTGAAATATGGTGCTTCTGGTGTGGTCCCATTTCGATTGGGTTAGTTTAGTTCAGTTCTGACAATGGATCAATGAGATAACTACCTTAAGCATATGTAAAAGTTCTATTTCAGGAAAACAGGATGCTCATCAGAATCATCCTCGATTCATGTCACTTTAAATGACAACAAGGCAAAATTACTCGGATTATTTATCAAGGGAAGCAATGCACAGCGGCTGTTCCTTATGCAGCATTCACTGTATTGGATGGATGGATGGATTACATCTGAAGTCGGTTTTTTTTTCTTAATTTTACTTACTTTATTTGAAATAGTTCTTTCGGATACCATACGAAGATGTGCAAAGTTTTAAAGGATGTAGAAGGAGTGTTGTTAGAGTTACAAGCCTAAAATTCGCCAGTCCCAAATCTAGCGAATCCGGAGAGTGGTTGATGATTAAAATGTGTGAATTTTTTATTTTTCAAAAAAACAACTGTTGATCCATTGTTGATTTTAGCCAACTTTTTAAAAATCGATCAATCGTCGATTTTACGATATTTAGTTACATTTCAGTTAATTGCATAGGAAACCCAAAACAAATTATTGTATGCGGAAATGTCAAACTTAGTATCTTTGTACTCTATATTTTTAGTACATATATTTTATTTTATATTTAAATGATTATAGACTTTAAATGTAAAGTCTTCTAGATTGTCCGGCTAGTATCTCCAATTAAAATTTAATTCTTCAACCAAATGTTTGATACATTATTCTCAAAACAGATGCCAGAAACATTAAATATAAACATTGTGTTAAATTTTAATTGAGGAAAATTTAAAACTGCAAAGAAATGAAATAAATGCCAAGCCAAGTAATTAATTTGTAACGCAACGATGTGCCTTATTAGCAGGGCGTAGGCAGGGGGGCCATTGTCCCCCCACTAAAAAATTTGTCGCCATATTAAGTCGACCACACATTCATTATTTTAAAATGGAACTGAGTTGTATTTAATGAAGTTTTTTTTATTGATCATTTGTATACATTTTTATTTTAACGCATCGCACATTATTTAATCAAACATTTTGTTTTTTGGGCTCCCTTTGGAAAAAGCTGCGTACGCCTTGCTTATAAGCATTAATTGAAAAAGTATAAGGACGAGTTTAGGGGGGAAATAATGTGATGCATTCCTGGATAACTGGGGCATTTATGAGGCAGTGGATCTGAGGCGTGCAAATTGTAAAACATCGCTTCAATGTTCAACCACAAAATGGCCAAAACGCTCGTCATTCCCCACGTGATGGCTGCCCGCCAGCTTGTAATCATTGCATGTAAATTGCGGGCTTGGATATCGTTATTGTCGGTTTTGAAAGCGCATCAAAAATTCACCGCAACTGTCAAGTGCCGTTGCTTACACGCCTCAGTGCACAGCTGTTGCAATTATAGACCGAACCAACGGAGCTGAATCTGCTGCATTCGAGTACAGAAGTTACAGTTTTGCCAAAATCGGGCCGGACCACAATAAATCATTGGCAGACAAATTTGCACGCATGCGAGTTCGTAAAAATCAATCTACTGGCCCGTATTTAAAATAAGGTCTTCTTGGGGCATAAATCTTTTTGTGGACTCGGCCAATTTTGGCTGCTGACAGATTGCCGGGGTTGCTAGGGGAGAGGTCAGTTTTATGGAGGTGCAGGTTTTACTGCGAACTTGTGGGGACATAAAACTTGGCACTGTGGGAACTGTGGCGGCGCAGGCTGCTCTGGGCTTAGGTGTTAATTCGTACTCTTTTATGACGATCCACTCTCTCACACTCCCCAATTCCTCAACCAACTATAATCCAGCGCAAATGCCGTTAAAAGGCCGACAAGCTGCGCACGCAAACGACTCATTACTGAGAATGAGAAAATATACAATATATGTAACACACATACACACATATGTATGTAGTATTATGCATAGCTATAGTATATAGAGTGGGTAGCAGCGAGGTCTCATGCCAATACCATTGACAGTTTGAAAACTTGAAACTCGAAACGCTTTAAAAATCGCTGATTTATGTAATTATTCGGGGCGACAAGAATTTCGTGCTCTCCTCGTTGTCTGCGTTTCTGTCTGAAGCTGCACAACAAAAAGGGTCCAATACCAAATGGCTATCTCAACTGCAGCCACAAAGCCGGCAAGCCAGTCAGACAGCCAGCCAGCCATCCAGCCAGCCAGTTAGCCAACCAGCCGGTGTGTTT